GACGGTCTCTGTCCACAGAGGGCGGGGAGGCCAGGCCAGCCTGGAACTGGTCTAGCAACGTCCAAGGCCCAGGGCGGAAGAAGGACAAGTAGCCCGGGGGACATCAATCTGGTGGCCAGGGTAATGAGGAACTGGCTGCAGCAGCTGACAGCAGATGCCTGGAGCACTCGCTGCCTGCGTGACACCTCAGTTCAAGGTGGCCTGTCACCGACAGAGGGTCCCAGGGGTGCACTGAGGTCAGATCAAAGCCTGCAGCCCGAGGCTCCTTCCAGAATGTGTGGTGTGGGCTTGGTCACCCCTTGGGCCCCCGTTCTCCCGAGGAGTCAAGACAAGGGGCTTGCTGATGGAGAGAGGCCGCCCTGGGCCCGGACGTACCCCACGCCACCAGCGGCAATGGCCAGTGCCAGCCCACACGGCCAGGTTCTCTCCCACCCAAAGTCAGGCCCAGCTCGGCCAGCCCAAGACCCAGTGCGCAGCAGCCAGTGTCCAGGAGCGCCCCCACCCATGGACGCGCCCTCCCAGCAGGGGTCCTCAGGTTCCTGGCTGGCCTCTGGAGGAGGGGAGTTGAGGGGGGCAGAGAAGACGGTGGTGGTATTAGAGGTGGGGGGGAGGGTGGCAGTGGTCAGGACAGAGGAGGACATGGCATTGGCGGCCGTCCTTCAGGGCACATGGCTGCCGTACCTGAAGCCAGTGTGTTCTTACTGAGTCACTGCAACCTGTGAGGTAGAGATGTCACCCTCATCGAGAGAAAAGACAGAAGCTCACAGGGGGTCACACAGCCAGGACGCAGCGGAGTCTGAGAATGCCCGAGCGATCGGCCCAAGGAGCACCCGCCCCGGGGTGGGTGAAGGGCCAAGCGGTCCAGGTGCAGCAGGCATCCGGCCCCCAGGGACGGACGCCGGCCACACTGGCCACCGGGGACTGATCGGGCTGGTTTTGCTGCAATGAAAGGAATGCACCTCTGGGAGCCTCGGGAAAGATAAAACTTCCCACCGAGGCCGACTCGCGCAGCCTTTCTGGGAGCAGAGCAGCCGGCAGGGCAGAGGCTGACTGCCTCTGAACCGAAGTCTTCAACAGCACCCTCGGGATCCATGAAGAAAGACATTATTAGCCGGAGAAGCAGAGGGGACAGCTTAGTCCATGGCTCAAAATAAGATGACACTTCTCCAGGGGAGGAGGGGTGTGGAGGTGGAGTGGAGAGGGTCAGAGGGGAGCCGGATGCCCGCCAGGCCAGGCCCTAAGGCCGCTTGTGGCTGCCCAAGCCACAGCAATGCAGCTTTCCAGGGGGCCCATGGGGGGGGGGGGGGGGCTGCAGCCTCCCCTCTCCACCACCAACCTGTGCAGGTCTGGAAGCTGCTCTGGCCCAGGTGGGACCTCTGCCCGAGAGGATGGGCTGCTGGGATTAAACTATGGGGCCCTAGGCAACCTCAATCCATACATGTTGAGAAGCCAGCACCTCCGGGGTATGAGAGCCCTTCATCCCACCTTCCAGGGGGCCCCCTTCAGGGACAAGGGGTCTGGCCCTGGTGGGAGAAAGAGCAGCCATAGCATCCTGGGATGCAAGTCCTCAGAGTTGCCAACCTGCCCCTCATGATCTGGGAAGCGTGAAGCTCAGGCTTGTCCACCAGCGAAGCGAACAGAGAGCAGGGCCCAGGGCTGCGCTGAGCACCGCGGGGAGACCAGGACGCAGACGTGCTCAGCACAGGTCCCTGCCATGCAGAAGGAGGGGAGCCCGACAGGTCTGCCTCCTCGCACGCCGGGAGCGGGCATGTGGGGCCCTCCAGCCACAGGGCGGTTCAGTCATGGGGACGAATGAAGTCCGGCGTCGCTGCACCACGGAGGGACCTGAACGGCGGTCACACAGGCTGTGTGACCCCACAGAGGGAAAACATCTAGTACTGCACACCCGTGGCTGCAGGGCAGGGGGGACAGGGTCGGGAGTAACTGCTACGGGTCCAGGGTTTTCTTTTAGGGATGATGAGAACATTCTGGAATCAGTGGTGATGGTTCCACAACTCTGCACACACTCCAGATCGCTGAACTGTACTCCTTTTAACGGGCGAATTTTATGGCACGTGAATTACTTATTTTATTTTTAATCCTCACCTGAGGATGTTTTTCTATTTATCTTCAGATAGAGTGGGAGGGAGAGAAAAGGAGAAAGAGATAAACATTGACGTGAGAGAGATACATCGACTGGTTGTGACTCCAACCAAGGTTGGGGTCGAACTGCAACCGAGGTACATGCCCTTGACTGGACTCGGACCTGCAACTCATTGGTCCACGGGCCGACGCTCTAACTGCTGAGCCAAGCCAGCCAGGGCTATGGCACATGAATTATGTTTTTAAAAATTAACAGGTCTATCCCTCTCCCCCATTGCCAAGCCTACCAAGAGTCCCCCTGTGGTTGTCTGGTTAGAGAGGAGAAACAGAGCAGGGAGCTGGGGCACGCTGCCCCTTGTATCTCCCCCACACCCTCCAGTGGGGGCTGGGGGCAAAGGGGGCTCCTTCCCTGCTGAGATCGCCCGCCCGCTCAGGTGTGTGCCCCGCTCTCCAAGTGTACCTGGAATGCCTGAAGCAGCAGCAGCAAGGAGCACAGGGCACATCCTCACCAGCTGTGTGACCCTAGCTGACGACCTGAGCCCTCTGAGCCTCAGCTTCTCCGGCTGTGCCTGAGGCGGGCTGCCAGCCAATTCTACAGGCGAAGATGGCAAGGTCAGAGCCGGGGTGATTCAGTGAGAAAAATGGGGACCAGGCATGGGGTGTGACCCAGAGAATGTACCAGAGGCTCATTACGCATCTCATTTCTTCAAATCAAGGCCCCAAATGGGGCTGATCGCCAATGGACCTCATCACCATGGCTTCAAACTCTCATGTTTTGCTCGTGGCCACCACCACCAGATACAAGGTGACAAGGCCCAGACTCACAAAGATTCTCAAACACTTGAGAATCAGGGTCCAATTACTGCTCCATGGCCCATGAACATCGAGCCCCCCCCAAACCTCAGCTTTCTCAGCAGAACGAGGGGGCTGACCTCGGTGAGCCGGCAGCAGACACCACGCTTTGCCAGGGTGAGGGCTCAGGCCAGGGTGGCTCAGCCCTCGACTCCCTCTCCTGACATTTCCCAGGGCGTCACACAAACACCCTGGTTGCAGCCGCAGAGCCTGACCCCGCCAGCAGCACACTCTGTTCCCAGCCGCGAGGCCAGCCGCCTCTGGCACACTGGCTGCCTGCTGGCCCGTCACGCGAGCCAGACGCCGGGCCAGCCTGGGGCAGGGAGAGGAGACGAGGGCCACGGAGGCAGCCCTGCTGCGTGCTCTCAGCCCACACGTGGGCCGGCACCTGCAGGCCTCTCCACCACCTGCCTCGGCAAGGAGGGGCCGGCACGTGCCCTCTCGTCGTCAGATCTCCGCAGACGCGGCGTCACTCTAGGACTCGAGCCCAGCGGGCCGGGAGTGGACACAGCTGCCTGATGAAGCCCTGATGCTGGGGGGACTCGGCATCCCCCCACATGCTGCTTGGGAAGCCCTGCCAGCCCCGTCTCTGCCTTCTGGAATGCTCTTCGAGAGGACAGCCAAAGCGGGGAGCTGCTGGGCAAATTCTGCCCCAGGGGCTTCTCGTGAGCTCTGAGGAGACCCCGAGCCTCAACTCCAGCTCAGGCTCCCACCGAGCGCGGCTCACCAGGGCACTCTGCAGCTGCCTGGGCTGCCTGCCTCCTCTGCGCACCTGCTCCTCCGCTGGATGGTGCACCGTGGCCCGAGGCGGCCGGACTCCTGCCGCCTGCTGTTCCGAAGTGGCCACGGAGTCCCCAGGTAGGTGTGGAGGGGGCGGGGGGTCCATGCAGGGACGTGGAAGGTCAGCTGGCAGCCACACTGCCCAAGTGGACAGAGCAGCCCACAGCAGATGGACACGAAACCAGGCCCAGTGGTCCTCCCTCTCGGGCCAGTGACACCCTGCCCATCAGTGCTAAGCTCATTCCCCTCACTTTCTCCTCCGTCCAAAACCAAAGCAGCAGAAAGGGCCTGGGAAGAGGCGAAATTCCAGAGATCAGAAGAACCCAGGCACACCCGTCAGGGCGAACGTCTGCTCCGCTGGGCCGAGGCTGCGGAGCCCTTAGAAGCCGACGCAGCTCCTTCCGGCACGCGCGGTTCCTGGGTGCTCCCGAGGGCCCTGGGGCCCCGATGTCAAGTCTGAGATCTTTGGGGCGAGGCAGATGGCAGGCAGAGGCACCCGGAGTACCCACTCCCTAGAGGTAAGCCCAGAGGTGTCTAAGAGGCCTGCGCCAGAATGCGCATGGGCCGGGTCTTCTGGCAGAAAACCACCGCCGTCCTGACTCGAAGAACCAGCCGCCCTTGACCAGCACGACCACAGGCAGCCGGACGGCAGGAACGAGAGACCGAAGCCCAATCTGAAGCCCAATGTCGCACAGCGTGTCACCGACACCAACCTCTGTCCACGCCACCAAGCACTTCCTGCTTCAAGGAGTTAGGCAGTGGGGGGCTGAGCTGCCCCAGGAACCCCTTCCGGGACCGTTCGAGTTTCCAGAGGCTGTTCCCTGTCCCGTCTGAAGGGGGTATCAGAGCCTGGAGCCACATGACTCTCTGGGAAATGGGCTCCCCAGGAACAGGGTGTTCCCTCTGCAGCCACTCGGGGCTCCGGTGGCCCAGCTGTCCACCCTCCTCAGTCGGGTGCACATCCCCACTGCGGACGCCCCCACGACGGCTCCCGGGGCCAAGAAAGGACAGAGGCGGGGTCAGAGTGAAAGCAGAAGCCAAGCAGGGGTGCCCATGGCTGGCCGGGCAGGAGTACGGGAGGGGCTGCGGCTCACTGCGCTGCTCCCACCAGACAGAACCAGCACGAGAAAACCAAGAGTCGCCTGGAGCCCCAGCTCTTGCTCACGGGGACCAGCTGCTTCCCCGGCCACCCTCGCCCCTCAGGTGGAGGTCTGGCTGCGGGCTGGCGGGGGCTCCTCTCCCTCCCTCGGCCGTGCGCCTCTTACCTCTGGGTTCCTCCGCCTGTTTGGCGAGCTTGCGCAGCGCAGCGGCAAAGCTGGAGGACGGCGCGGCCTGGGCCGACAGCGCACTGCTGGTGGCGGGGCTGCCGCTGGGCACCAGGGCGCCATTGAGCGGCGAGGGGGTGAGGGGGTTGACGGTGGCGGTGGTCCTGGTCGCGGTGGAAAGCATTCCTAGTGAAGGGGACTTGGGCTCATGGCTCATGCCTGAAACAGGAAGAGAAGAACCAGAGGTCACCCAGAGAGCAGGAGGCCAGCACCAGAGCGGGGTCCGGGGCTCAGGGGTCTGGCCAGCAGGTGGCATGCAGGGGGCAGGAGCAGCCTGGGTGGCCCCAGAGGACAGGCAGGCAAAGCAGACAGAGCCAGCGCTGCAGAGAGAATGGGCAGGAACCCAGAGTCCAGCCAGTGCCCCCGAGGGTCCAGGGGCACCCCCACCCTCTTGAATCTGTAATTACAGAACAAGGTATGCCCAGGGCCCCAGTGATTCTAGAGGCTCAATGCCTTGGCCCGCACAATCCTACAGCCTCTCCAGGGCCACTGGGCAGGCCTGGGAGACCCTGGCAGCGTCAAACACCATCCCCTACCAGGCCTGAGGATGGAGATGAGCTGGGGTGGGGCCAGCATCCTCGCAATAAAGAGAAGAATGCCAGCAAAACTAGCCACGATAAAGACAAGCAGACCAGCAGCTCACGGTTAACACATTTCTGCTAGGCCTCCGGCACATTCAGAAGTGGACGCGGAGGCTCAGACAGTGCAGACCCGGTGTCTGACCCAGGCAGGCGGCCGGGAGCCCTTTCTGTGTCATTATGCGCTCCCGAGACCCAAAGCCACCCAGGAACCCCGACTGGTCTCCAGCTGAGGTGTCTCAGAGAAGAGCCGCGGGGGGTCGGCCGCGCCAGCAGTTGAGGAAGTGCAGGACAGAACACAGCGTCCAAACCCCGCGTGGCTCCTGGCCAGGGCAAGCAGCTCAGGACACAAAACTGCAGATCTAACCACCGTTTGTGGGGAACCTCCTCCTCACTGGGGGGCCAGGGTCAGGCCAATCCCGCCAAGGAGCTACTGTCCACCAGGGTGACCTCAAACACCCCAGGGGAGGACTTGGCCACCGTGTTCAGAGCCCCCAGCCTCTCCAGTCCCATTCCAGTGTCAGCAAGGCAGCTGACCCTCCCCCGCCCCGACACCTGATCAATAAAGGCCCGGCTCTGTGTTGGACCACAGGAGAGGGGCGCTGTCACTAAGTTGTCCGTGAACATTTCCCACCCTCGGGGCTGCCTGCCCAGGCCCTGCTCCCTCCCCATGGTGCAGTCCCAGGGGAGTCATTGAGGCTGACGGCCTCGGAGTTGGCAGGGGCAGCAGGTCACGTGCAGGGAGGAGCACACGAACTCCCAAACCCCCAGACAGAGACCGGGTGATGGGCCGCTGTGCAAACACCTGGGAAAGGGGTCCTTGTCATCGTGGGGGTGGGCATGCACAATCGCAGAACATCCAAGAACACAACAGAGCAGGAACAGGGGAGCAAGGCCACGCCCGGGCTGTGACCCCATCCCAGAGCCCACCTCACCTCCTGGGAATTCTGTGTCAAGTCCAAAGGGGTCTACCTGCTTCCACGCCCACGCCCAGGGGACCCCACAGGGGCAGACCCCAAGATCTCTGCCCACTCACTGCCCGCAAACACATGTCCTAGCCCTGAGTCCCAGTGAGCCAGGCCCTGCTGGTGACATCAGCCCCTGATGGGCAGAAAATAAATCTTGGGGGCTCAGCCGGGTGCGGTGGCAGCCGGGCAGAGTGTGGGGGGGGGGAGCGGAGCAGCTGACGCATAAAAGACAATATTGAAGCAGGCGCAAGCTGGAGGGAACACCATTCTTTCAGGCGAGGGCTTGTACCTCGGGAACAAAGGACCCCCACAAGCGCCCCCGCGCCCACAGCCGGCAGGCTGGCCTCCCAGCTGCCGGCAGGTCACGTGGGCACCAGGCCGCGCGCCCACAGCCGCAGCCCCACTGAGTGGCCAGCACCGACCTGCGGCTGACCCCTGCTGTCCCCCTCTCCCTGGAAGGGCCGGGCGGGGAGGGGCACACGTCTGTCCACAGCCACCTAGAACCCAGCAGAGAAACCCAAGAACTGGGGGCACGCGGGGCCCCTGCTCCCAGCAGCTTGATTGCCACAAAGCACAGGTTCCTGACAAGAGTCCTTTCCCAGCCAACCTGGCACCCAGCCAGCCCCTCAAGGACTCCCAGCCCGATGGACAACATGCTCCGGAAGCCTGGCCCCAGGCTGTCTTGAGTGCCCTCCTCCTCCCATGGCTGGCAGGGCCGAGAGCGGAGGTGCGGCCAAGGCCAGGAGTCAGCAGAAAGGGCCTGGAGGTGAGGGCTCAGCCTGACTCAGCACCTGGGGCCCGGCTTTCATCCCGCAGCCGCCGCGTGACTTGCCTGAAGTCACCACCTCTCTGAGCCTCAGTCTCCTCGTCTGTAAAATGGAGATAAGGAGAGAGTCTACCTCACTGGGGTTAATCCGTAAGGAATCGAGGAGCTAATGTACGCGCGGGGCTTCGGAGTAGGGCAGACACACACTAGGGGTCACTTGTCACACAGGCCGTCCGTGAACTGAGGCAGAAACCCTGGTCCTAGGTCCTGAAGGGCGAGGGGTCTGGCCAAGGCCACACAGGACGGACTCAGCAGACTAGACCAGAAGCTGCCGGGTTTGTGCCTCCCGCCTTACCCGCGGCGTCGAGGGGTAGAGGCAATGTGCCGTCGGAAGTCTATGCAGTGCTGCTTGGGGTGGGCACCCCAACACTCCCCCTCCCCACTGCTGCCTTCCCCAGGCCTGGGGACAGCCAGGCCCAGCCTGGCATGTACGCCGCAGGCGGAGGGCCAGTTCCATGTCCCTGAACAGGCAGGGGCGGCTGCAGGTGAAGGTTGACACACCCGACAGCCCAGGACGGAGGGGACCAGGGCTCTCGTCCCGTTGCCCCCCACACAGGAGCTGACGGGGGTGGTCCACACGGACTCAGGCTCCTGCTCGGCACCCACACTCAATGGGTCAGTTGGGGTGGCGGTTGCCTAGAGATGCTAAATGGCGTAAGATGAAGGCCTGCCTTGTGGGGCCCCAGACAAGACATCAGGTTCACCGGGTCCTGACGAGTGTTCAGAGGCAAGTGTCCCTCCCAGGGCTGCTTGGCAGATGAGGTGTGCGGGCCCTAGAGCTCCCTCACCCAGGGGACATCTGAGCAATCCTCAGAGGTCACACAGTTCCTCGGGTCACCTCTCCAGATAGCCAGGGAGAACGATGGGCCTGGGAGAGGCCAGAACAGCAGGGCCGCCACGTACCCACCAGCCTGTGTCCACTCCTCTGGGCCTCGGACGACACTCGGGGACTGGCAGAGTGCAGGTGGACCCAAGGCCGGGAGCAGCTCGAATACCGTGGTTCAAGGCCACTCGGCGATGCAGCCCGCGGCTCAGACGGCCTCCTCACCGCCCAGCACGCCACCAGCCAGTCCGAGGCCCGACCACGAATGCACCAAAGGCGCAAACACGCACAGAGCTACGACGTGTCCGGCTACGGTGGGTCCACCTAACACAGTTTCCCCTTCGGAGGCTTCAGTCACCCACGGTCACCCACGGCCTGAAAACGTTAAATGGCAACTTCCGAAAACAAACAATTCTGAAGTTTTAAACCGTGCGCTGTTCCACGCGGCACGATGGAATCTCTCGCCATCCTCTTGCCATCCGCCGGAGACGTGACTCATCCCTTTGTTCGGTGAGTGCAAGTGGTGCACGCTCCCTGCCTAGTGGTCACCTAATAACCAGCTCTCAGATCGGCTGTCTTGTAATCTCAGTGCCTCTGTTCAAGTGACCTTGATTTTACTTAATAATGGCCCCGGAGTGCAAGAGCAGAGATGCTGGCGGTTCAGACACGCCAAAGAGAAGCTGTCAAGCGTGTATGCGTAGGATTCAGTACTATCCATGGTTTATCCACTGAAGGCCTTAAAGTGCATCCCCTGCAGACAAGGTGGGATGGGGGGGGGAGGGTGCTGCTGCTGTGTAGTGGTTTAAAAAACGTCCACAAAGTCTTTGTCACTCATCCCTTTATGCGGCGGAGACTACTCCCAAACTGCTAATGAACAGTGTGTGGCGGGAGTGAGTGTGTGTGACTTCTGAGACGTCGTCAGCCAAAGCACCTCGGCAGCCTTCTCTCCGATCCCTTGAGCGGAGGGTGGTCAGCAGCCATGTTGGGAGGATGCTCAAGCAGCCCGTGGAGATGTGTTTCGGGGAGCCGAGCCCTCCTGTCCACAGCCGTGTGAGGTGCCATCTCTGCAGCTGCGTCTCCAGCCCCGGGCCAGCCTTCAGATGAGACAGAAGTCCAGGCAACAGCCTGATCACAGCCTCATCAGGGACTGAGCCAGAACCACCAGCGAGCTGCTCCGAGGTCCCTGAGTGCTTTCTACGTTGGGGATAGTTTGTTATGCAGCATCAGAGCGGATACAGCGTCCCCACATTCCTGTCTGATCGAGACCCACTCTCTCCACCTGTCCTCATCTCCCTCCCTCCTCAGGGCCCGAGAAGTTCAACCACCTAACTGCCTGACCACTATGCTGTATACCAGAAGCTCACACAATTAATACTGAATATCAGCTAGAGCACGAAAAGAAGTTCAACCATCTGCACAGAAGTACTCTGTGCCTTTACCCAGAGTCCCCTCTGATGCCATCATCCCTGGACCTTTCCCCTGTTCCTTAGAGATGTGGCCACCTCTCTTTAAAGCCCAAATACCCTAAGACAAAGGGGACTTTGTGCCCATTCTACAGATGGGCGAGGGTAGGCTTGGATCCAAGGGCTAACAGATGGTCAGCAGCAGGACCAGATTGCTCAAACACAACACCTACATCCCATTTACATAAAGCTGGTCAGGGCCCAGGCCCAGGCCCATTCTGGCGCTGTGTGTGTGTGTGTGGGGGGGGGGGGGGGCAGGGAAGTGAGGATGTGCCATGTAACTGTTGTACTTCCCGGTGACCAGCCCCAGAGGTCTGGGGAGTAGATGCGAGGTCACTGCCCAGTGGCCATGTGACAGGGTGGCCAGCTGGCAACTCGGGTGAACATGCTGTGACCACCAGCTGCTGGTGATGGGCAGGATGGCTCAGAGGTGCTGGATAGGCAGGTGGTGGCCACAGGGCAAATCCCAGACCCCAAAATGTCACATGGCCCTTATGGCTG